AAATGAGTATGCTTATAGAGAGAGAAAACGAACTTCACTATTAAGGATCACCTTGGAAAGAGTATAAATGCAAATTTGTAGAGTATAAAACCTTATATTTTGTATGTATTTGTACTCTACAAATTTGCATTTGTATTCTTTCTAAACTGAGCCTAAAGGAAAGACGAACGACAAATTATAGATCGATGCAGAGTGTAAACAAGATCTTTTTCTCTTACTCTTAGAGCTCCACAATTCATCGCATCTGATCTTCCTCAGCTTCAGCGAACATGGTAGAGTATGCCATCGATCAACATTTTAGTTTTCGTTTTTTGTGAAATCAATTCACAAGTGAAAGAAAGTATACACCAATAACCCAAGCCTACGATGGGTTAGCATTCAACAACTTGAACCCAACTCAACACGATTAGTCTCAAAACAAACCCATTCTAATTGGCACTGGATAGTAGGAGTGCAACTGGGTGGGTTGGATCTGGTAGGTTCATAATAACAAACCCGTCTTAATTGACACAGAACAGTAGAGGTGCAAACTTCAGGTTCATGCCTGGCCTAACCCAGGAGGTCAAGCTCAAGTTTATTAACTCAGGTCCAACCCAAGCTTAATTCAATGCAACTTAGCTAGGCTGGTTGGGTTGGTCGGATTTGAACTAACTTATATAGATATTTTTATATAACTATTTTTTATTGAGTTTTTTGGCCTAATTTAAGAATAGAATTTATTAAAAATATATACAAATTTTATTTATACATATTTTCTATATATGCATACGTTAAGATTGAAGATGAGGATTTGTTTCAAAGACGAGGTTGGAGACAGGGAATATGATCCCTGCCCCGTTGTCATTCGTAACTCATATCAGGTTTGGATTACTCAAATTGTCAACCCAAGCCCAACTCAAATTCAAGTCAAGCCCGAAAGTTTTGGCCCAGGCCTAGCCCGCAGCCCAAAACTCATGTCCACCCTTTGCAAAAACTCGGATTGGATTGAGCCGAATTGAAGGTTGCCCGCTCAAGTTGCAACAGTACAGGATGGGGTGTGAGGGTGAACCTGCCCCATTGACATCGTCAACCCAAGCCCAACTGCCCAACCCAAATTCAAGTCAAGCCCGAAAGTTTTGGCCCAGGCCCAGCTCGCAGCCCAAAAACTCATGTTCACCCTTTGCAAAAACTCGGATTGGATTGAGCCGAATTGAAGGTTGCCCGCTGCAACAGTACAGGACGGGGTGTGAGGGTGAACCTGCCCCATTGACATCGCTACCACCATGTTTCACGTTCATTTCATGAAAACTGGAAAGCACCTCACTCTTTTATATCTTCAACTGAAAAAAAAAATGAGAACAATTGGTCAATTTGTCCTTGCCACACAAATAAAAATTGAATGCAGCACGAAGTCAAAACCAGGTTGGAGAAATTTGACCCATGTTGAACAATTACAGTAGTCAACTTGAAATCTTTACAGCAAAGCACAAAATGGAAACTTTTCCCAGGAATAAATACTACAGCAATTAGTATTTCACACTCAAATCAGTTAGTTGTGAAACAGTGAAAATAACAAAAACCCACATATAGATATAAAGGTAAAGAAAGAAGAATATGCTGATGAAGGTTTTAATAATACAGTTGAGTAGGAAAGCTTCATCCAGGAAAAGAGGGTTTCATGAACATCAAAATTTCTTTTCCAAACAACCCATGTTGATTGTTGAGAGTTGCCATGCATGGCCAATCCAGACTGTCCATGAGATGGGGACCAAATTTCCAATTCCCACTGTTAAGAAAACGTCAGTTTCTAGACCCTTCCATCCATTGAACCTTTTTCCTGCCTAGTTGGAGGATACTTTGGGGGTGTGGAGGAGAACACGGGGATTCCTTTTAGGCCACCAAATTGCTCAGACGTAGAAGATTAAATTCCTTAGGATCTTCTCTTAAGCTATGTTTGATTTGAAGGAAAATGCAGGGAAAGGAAGGGAAAGGTAAGAAAATTTTTACAAATATTGTATAAATTTTCCTGTCTTTTCTCTTCCTTTCCCTACCTTTTCCCTTAAACCAAAGGCTACGTTTGTAATAACTTCTGCTCATACCTGACTGAATCCGTGGTCAGGGTCACAGTTACAGTATAGGTTCATGCACGCTGTCTTTTTAGCTTTATATCCCTATAATCTGAGTTTCCAAGCTTCATATCCTGTTATCCAGCTTACCAACCCAATTAGAAAACTAACAACATTGTGATTTGGAATGGTTTAACGCAGGCTGAGACATTCTAAAGAAAGTTTTTCCGAGATGATCTCAGAAGTAAGGGTGGATTTGAGCCAAGCCAAACTGAATAAGTACAAGGCTCGAGCTCAGCTCGTCAAGGTAGTATAAGGCTCGAGTTCGAGTTCGAGTTCGGTTCGAACTAAAACCTTGAACTTGAGCTCGAGCTCAAGTTCGATTCGAGCTAAAACCTTGAGCTCGAGCTCGAGCTCAAGTTCGGTTCGAACTAGAACCTTGAGCTCGAGCTCAACTCGAGTAAAAAACTCATAAGTTTGAACTCAGTTTGGCTCGAGCTCGATTTGAGAAAAAATGTTTTATAAAAATAAAAATTATATATAAAAAATATTTTTTATTTGATAATTTATTGGAGTATAGGGGATTGTTTTAAGCAACAAAGACAACAAACCATCAGGGATTAAGGAATTAGTGCGATATTGTATAATATGGTCTGATTAATACCGTATAAGAAATTTGAAGCCTCTATGTGATTTTAAAGATCTTCAAAGACATTTGAAGCCTCTATGCTCAACTATTAAGGTATAGGGTCTTGTTTCAAGAAAGAGGCATAATAAACTATCAAAATTTATGAAGTTGGCGTCATATTGTTTAATATGGTCTAATTAATACAGTATAAGAAATCTATGTGATTTTAGAGACGTCAAACACATCCAATGCCTCCATACTGAATTATTAAGGTAATGAGCTTATTTTGTTCGTGTTGCTGGGAGGAAGATTTTGGACAATAGATAGAGAGGAACTGACTTCTCACTCAATTGGTAGATAAATAATTGGAGAAACATATACCTGAGCAATAAATGACTTCAAGAATGTTAGAAGACAAGCGTTTCAATAGGTTCTATGTTCTCTTTATTCATTGGATGGAAGGCATGTGTTTTTTCTCTTTGAGCTTTTGGATGTGGGCAGAAGGTTTTGGACAAAGGTAAAATTTCATAGACTTTTAGGGCGGTGGTTAAAACTTAAAAGATAAATGTTTTTCTTTCATTTTTTGTTTGAAAAAAAAGAAAAAAAAAATAACGGGTGTGTTAAACCCACCTCCCATTACTTTTACACATCTCCCCCAAAATAGCAACATGTTACAACGCGGATGGAAGTTGAGCTCGCGTTGTAACAACAAAATGTGCAGCCCATCCGGTCTCTATAATTCGTGCCCTTCATTAACGAACACCTCCAAGGAAGCCTCATTAACATGGCATTACTTTTCACATCAATGCAGTTGAACCCCAGGCCCCCAAGAGATTTTGGCCTCCAGAAATTCTGCCAAGCCATTGAGGCATTGTTACAACTCTTCATCAGATAGAAAATAAACCTATGAAATGTTGGCTTTGGATTGACATTGTTCAACCCATTTCATGATGGGGTGTGGGCTCTTTTGGACACATTCAACCTACTTAACAAACGGGAACGGGCCGGGCTCCTATTCACTATCAACAAATCCAATAACAAGTATCTTAGATTCAGTTATCTGCTTCCACACCTTCAAATCAGATTCCTCGTTAACACGGGTTGGTCATCTTCAAGCTCGAGGCTTGAGGACGAGGAGTTGTTGTTAACGAAATGGACTTCTACTAAAACACCAAGTTGTTTCATCAGTCACTAGGGGATTGCTAGTTAGTTTATTAAAGCACCCTCACAATACTCCAGTACTTGGTCAAGGACCTTCACATTGTTCGTTTCTTTCCTCTAATCGAGCCATCAAGGATCTTTTCAAATCAAGCCGAGCTCAGCTTGGCTCGGCTCATTTATTAATCAAGCCTGTAAATTAGGCTCAAGCTCGATTCGAAGCTCCATTGAAACTGAGCCGAATTGAGCTTTTCACAAGCCGAACTCGAATAGCTTGTGAAGAGCTCGGCTTATGGTCACCCCTACTCAGAAAGCCTAAGATTGGAGGACTAGGATGGAATCATCAATCATGGAACAGTGTTTTTTATATTAGATCGGCAGTTGTAAGTAGGATAAAGCTAAATCAGGCAAATCACATTGTTTCACCATGGATTTGTTATAGCCAACATGAAGTCTGCCCAAACCAGCACAGCACCTTGCCCCAAATGGAGCAACAGAAAAATCATTTTCATTCTAACTATTTGTTGGCACAGCTGCGGTTGATCATCTAGGCCAAAAATGGGTACTGATAATGTGGAGTTATTGATAGAATATGATCACCATTCTGATTATCCAAAGGAAATGAGACATGGGGACTTATTAGGATCATCTGATGGGCCAGATCCCCTGGTGGTACCCTAGACCACCAGATGTGCACAGTAGATGAAACAGAGACTTTCCTTCCCTCCAAATCCCATTACTATGTGTAGCAAAACCAGCAATATTTCTGCTTAAATTCAAATACAAATATTTCTTTTAGGTCACCTTGACCCTATTCATCAAATACATCAACATGAGAGGTGGTGGACATAGATAGACAACCACCAAAAGCAGCAAGTGGGCAATTGTGGTACTTAATGCGTAACAGTTAGAAGGGATACTGAGATACTTCACAAGGCTTAGGACCATCATCGACCATCCTAGCTAGCTTTATGTGGCCATGAAAATCTTGGCCTTCACTGTCACATGCATGGCTGATGCTTTCAAAGAAAAGAAGACCCACAAAAAGGGTTACTTCATTCATTACTCAGTGCAACATATACCATCTCAGCTCTCAACTCGGCACAGAAATTTGTCTATAAATACGTTAGATTGCTCACGACTTTGCTCCATACTTCATTGCATGTAAGATGACTTTCATGGGTTCCAAGGAGTCTGCCTTTCTCACCCTCCTTAACCTTCTCTTCTTCATTTCTGTGTCATCTCACAAGCTGCCATGCACTCCTCCTACTCAGCCCATCCCAAAGACTACGCCCACGGTTCCATACATCCCCACTTATCCAACCCCTCAGACTCCACCCACGGTTCCATATGTCCCCACGTATCCAACCCCAGCTGAGACTCCGCCCACGGTTCCATACATCCCCACGTATCCAACCCCTGGGGCTGGGGCTCCGCCATTGACTCCGGCGCCCATCCACAAGAAGCCTGGAAGCTGCCCACGAGACATGCTGAAGTTGGGTGCATGCACCAACTTACTGGGGACGCCGATAATCATCGGCGCCCCTCTGAAGGGCCCATGCTGTGCCGTGCTGGGAGGCCTGGCTGATCTCGAAGTAGCGATGTGTCTGTGTACAGCTCTCAAAGCCAGTATCATGGGTATCAACATTGGCATGCCCCAGGCTTTCAGTATGCTAGTAAATGCATGTGGAAAGAAGGTCCCCGATGGCTTTCAATGTGCTTAGTTGCTGCTATTTCGGCTCTCATTTCTCTACTCCTCTGTCATTTTCATGCGTACTATTAGTTCGTCCTATTTAGTTTCTTAGTGGGTAATATGTATGACTTTTGTATTTGTTTAAAGAAAAAACAGTTCTCATGTCAAGTTTCACTGACTTGGGAATTGTTTTTTTTTTATTTAAAACACAAAATCATACATATGTATTGGTGACCAGCCTTTTGGTAGATAAAGTGGCTGGAGGAAATGCCTAGTTGTACTGTTTCGTTTAGCATGTAATCCTTATAAAAATCCTTGTTGTAACGCATTTATATATATGGAGCAATGTAATAATTTTTAGTGGATTAATTACATGTTTCTTCTTCAATTAGGGAACATTTGGTTAGCGCAATGGAAACTGACAAACTTGTTGTGAAGAGAACAAATAATAACAAAGAAGACATGATCAAGAAGATAAGAACAAACGGATTAATGTACATGGTTGGATGTATTGAGCATACTCCCAAGGAAATCCTTCTCATAGTGTTGTATCCTCATTCTTTTAATAAGGTTTTTAAAACCGATTTGGACAACGAACCGGTCAGGGGTCCGGTTTTCGGGTCAAACGGTTTGATCATTCCAATCGAACAAATAGTCCATTCTGACAAAAACATAAAATACGATCAAAACCGTCAAACGGTTCAACTGCCTGGGTCAGTGATTTGCTGACCAAATTTGGCAAAAATCCGGTTTTAGGGAAAACTGGAACTGGTCACCTGACCTGTCCCCAGTTTTTCCAGTCCGACCGCCCGGTCTAGTCCAGTTTTGAAAACCATACTTTTTAATACAAGACATTCTTCGTCAAAGTGTGACAATATGGGTTTGAATCTGCCAACGCCAGCCCATTTCACCCCTCCCAACCCTTTATTCATTTAAGCAAATTTATGCACATGAAAATGGATGAATAAGGTTACAAAGAGGCTATGTACAAGTATAACAGGCTGCAAAATCGAATAGGAAGTAAGCACACTGGTACATCTGGCAAATGTATATATGGATCGCTGGCATGTTTAGTTTGATATGATATGCATGGATCAAAGCAAGGTTTAAAATATCGATACAGGCCAATACACTGACAGGGGTCGGCCTGTATTGAAGCTTGCCCATCCTTTTTTTTTTGAAACTGGTTCAGAGGGGTCAGTCTAAGGCTGGTCCCCCTGAACCAGGTCACACCCCAATACGACCCCTGTAAGGGGAGTGTATCGTTAAACCAACAACACAATACGATATGCTTAATATGGGGTATATCATATCAAATTTTGAACCTTGAACCAAAGTATGATAAGCATAAGCTGGAATGGGATTTCATTCCCATCGGAGGGAAATGGGGGAATGGAATTCTGATTCTGTTCAACCAAACAGTTGAAACTGGAATGACCCATTCCGAATTTGATACTGAACCCCTACCCTGCAAACCAAATGGGCCCTAAATTTCAGTCAATGCCTTTCAGTTTATCAGTAATGCACGATTATTGGTAATTTATGTCTTAAATTTCTTATATATAGCGTGTCAACAACCTCAAAAATCGTTACATATCAGACAATATGGTATAATACGTATCAATCCTCTGAAGTTTGAACCATAGAATGGGAAACAGAATGACGAGGGTTCAACCCCAATTTAAACCGGTCTGAATGTAAGAAATTTGATCAGTGTTACATACAGGACGACGTAATGGCATCAACCAATCTGCTCTTGCAAATAATGGCTTTTGTTGTTGAATCATGACTCTGGTTTTGGACTGACAACCTGTTTGCCAGGTTCATCAATGTACGCCGATGGTAATCAAACTAATGTTTGTAAATTCTACACATTTTCATTAATATTCTAGTTAATGAGGATTAGGTTGCAATATGGGCAGACTGGATCCAAAACCGGCAAGGCCCAACCGGAGCTTTTTCATGAGTTAGGGTGGAACTGGGGAAGAAGAGTTGGATTTTTAGCTGAGCTGAGACCTAGAATGTAATCCAAACCGACGCTTTAAAAGCCTCTTGTTGGGGTTTTTATCCGAGTAAGAAAAGCAAATAGGATTTTATTGAAGTTCTGAATTTTGCGCAAGCAAAACTCAATTATTGGACATCTTCAATATGAAAATGGTAATTTCTCATTGTTAAAGGCATTGAAAACCACTAAAGTTGTATCTGGTTTGAAAGAAAAAGGTAGGGAAAGGAAGGGAAATGTAGGGAAACCTGTACAAGTTCCCTTTCCCTACCTTTTCTTTCAAACCAAACACAGCTTAAAAGATGAAGAAACTCCACCTTCTATGGGAGAAAAATGAAATAAAGTAACTAAGTTAAAATAAGGCATAAATTACAGATTCAAGATTAAAAAAAGGTCATTACCCAATATTGATCCTAGCTATCCGAGGTCTTCAGAGGGCATTTTCTTGTACAAAAGTGGCTGCTCTCAGACTAGAACTGATATTTGAACACTTTAACAGCCTTTGGTTTTACCATTCCACCAAGCAATGGATCATCATAAATCACAGATGTGAAATAAAACAATATATTCCTTATTTAGAAGAAAATTTGGCAACAGTAAACTTGAGAAAAATTCTGGGCTGTCTCTACGGCTTCTACAATGTTGACTCAGTACCATGTAAACTACAGTTGGCAGGATGGAAGTAGCCATATCAAAAGCCTATTCACACTTAATTGAACGGTAAATATGTCGCACAAAAAGTAAGGAAGCACGGAAACCAACAGTCCCAAGCATGAGGAAGAACCCATAACAGATGCAGGCCATGTAACCAAAGAAGAAAGATGTCTGCATGAAGCCTGACATGTCCGATCTTGCAAAATAGTAGAATATGCAGTAGCCATAGATGAAAACACCAGTTGAGCCTCCACAAAGAACAGACCTATGTGGATGTTTACAAACCATTAACCCATAGAAAATAAAGACCAAATTAAAAACTAAAAAGTAGGGAATCTATGAGACAATAACAAAAACTGGTAAAGCCTAGAAATACTGGTAAATAATCAACCCCAACTTTTCATTACATGGATTAAAACATCCAGGCATGGTAAAAACAAGAAAAGGTTTTGAGACATCCAAGTAGTACATAGGGTAAAATAGGTTTCATAGAAACTCAAGTCACTTCCCAGGATAATTAAGTAATGCTTCTAAAGTTCCAACTTCCCAAGAAAAACATGTCCTCAAATGATCTATATTGAAGGAGGAAGAAGAAAACATACAAGCACAGGAAAACAAAGCCACCTCAAATATGCAGAATAAGAAACCCTAGTATCTGTCACATGTTTCAAGCCTGAAATGAATGTTCATATTTTGTTACTTCTGTTTATTTACCTGTTCTTTTGTTTTTCTTTTTTATCTTTTTCCCACAAAACATTACCAAAATTAACCATTACAAAGTTGTTAAATTTGTATGTGTGGTCTATGCATGTAAGTAAATTACCTCCACCACCACTCATGGTCCTCAACAGCAAGCTGAAAATATGTCAATGCTACAGTGATGAATGCTGTCACAATGATGAGGATGATAAAGACAATGAAGAGGATGCTGTATATTGTGTAAATCTTGTGTCCCCACACGCTTGCAAAAATGTAGTACAGCTCAATGTAGATGGCACTGAATGGAAGGAACCCGGCCATTACCATCTGAGGGATAGTCCCCCTATACCATGGCAATGGAGGGATTTCTCTGGGATACTTTGTAGTATGACATGGAGCTTGGAATTCTGTGCTGCTGTTTTTTCCAGCAATGCCACCCAATACAAGCAAAGGTGTAGTTACTAATGTCCATATGAGAAGAATAACCAAGATGGTTCCAAATGGTAAAGCTGCAGTGGCACTATACACAATAGCAACAGTGTTGAGGAAGCAAAATGTCAAGAACAAAGGTCCACAGAATAAGCAACTTGTCAGCAATAAGTTCCTCACCTGAAAGAGGGGTAGGAGGAACAGAGAAGAAAGAAGTATAAGGTACAAAAGAAAAATAACCAAGTCCTTTAATGAAAAACAATCACTAAAAAATCAACTTATTTACCCAGTTAGTTCCTTCTAGTTGTAAATATGTGGATGTAGCAGTATAACCTGCAATTCCAGAGGTAAGTGCATATACGACAACCAGAGCTGTGAAAAGAGCTCCCCTGTTGTATGGGTAGAACACCCCAACTATTGCAAGGAGGAAAATGAACAGTGCACTGGTGCAACAACAAAGACAACAATTATTAGGAAATTTATATCACAGGGATAAAAAACTAAGAGCATTTTTCCTTTTTTTTTCTTTTCTTTTTTTTTTTGAGAAAATCTGGGACATATTCATGCACGTCTAAAGTGAAAACATGAACTCAACATACAACCTTCACGACTGCAGTTGTTCATTAACCTTAAAACGTATCAGACAGTTGTCACCTAGATGTATGAACATATAATGCAATATCCATTGTTAAATTATGAGCGCTTAAATCATCTTACCACTTCAACTCATGTCCTTTTTGGTCTTCCCCTAGCCCTTCTAACACCTTAAACTTGCAACAGATTGCTTCTTCTTACAGGTTCTATAAATGGTTTTCTATGCACATGACTAAACCATCTTAGTCTACTTTCTCTCATTTTTTCACCTATCAGAGCTACTCATAAGTTCCTTCCAATGACTTCATAGAATGAGCTTGGTAGTTTATCCAAAAGTGTCCTAATTCTCCATGTTTTACCCCAAAAGTCCTCACACATACACACATTAGAACTTTTCCATGGACTTATCTTGTGAAAACTGAAGCTTTGGATGACTAATATAATGGTTTAAAGTATTGATACACCCAATGACCCAAATGTACCACGCATTTTATATTTTTCTTTAATTTCATTTTTATGAATGTTTTATATTATTTAATAAATAAAAAAGTTGGTTTCCTGTAAACAGGTGTATCAGATACCCAGATACAATACGATATGCCTGATACAGAGCATATCGTATTGATACTTTGAACCTTGACTAAACCATCTGCTCAAAGCTCCAACAGAAAGTAGAGCATATGGCTGGTGCAGACTCAATTACATGGCAAACCAGAGGTCTCCTGTCTAATGGACAGTCCAAATCAATCACATAATTCCTCCAGATGAAAGAATAGATAGGATTAATGGTAGCATAATTGACCCAATTCGGATACCATTTTCCATGTCCATGCATTAACACACAAATTTTCACCAAGGTCATAGAGGTTATAGAATATATCAATCTACCCATCCATATGCTTTGTGTGTCAGCAGAAAACTCAAAAGTATTATAATTGCATTTAGTGTTTTAGTTTCAGTTTTACCGATAGTTGCAATAAATATTCTAACTTCATGAAGGGACTAGCTGGTTTCAAATTTTTACAGTTTATAGGTCTGATAACAAAGCATCAAAAAGAAAAAGAAAGATTTAAAATTTAAAACGAAGAAGATGTCAGAACTTGAAATCCATGTTTTTAGTCCATAGAACACTCTAAATAAATGTAATGTAAAAGCCTCCTAAAAGAGTACTTACATAGCTAGAAGTTGAGTTCCTGAACCCAGAACTGCTGAAAATAGGGACTTGTGTTTCGGGAATCGAAAGACATCACCATGAATGTACTTCCATCCAGTCTCTTCTTGGTCATCAACCGATTCTTCATCATGTGAATATCTTTAGCATGAGAAACAAGTCAATAAATTCATAATTAATTGCAAAATACATGGAATGGCCCATCCTGTGGGAATGTGTGTGTATGAGTGGAGAGAGAGAGAGAGAGAGATTTTGGTGTCTCTTACTTAATAAAATCATTCTTGAGCACCCGCATAAGAATAGTAGCAAGGAACCCAGTCAGGAGGAGCACAGTCACACAAGAATTTATTATTGAGAACCAATGAATCTCTAAGTGCTGTGGCATTGACGAGGATTTTGAGTATTTGTCCATCCTCTTCTCAAAAGGAATATCAGTCTCTTTCCAATTAACTGAATATGTAAAATCAACGACAACTTCCTTGTCCTCTGTGATGTCCGCAGACAGATTTGGGTCAGTCTGAGCATTGATCTCTATGACACGGTCATTGTTATAAAGAACATCAAAATGGATGTGTTTAAACAGAAGGTATTTATACTCGTTAGGATCCTCCTTATTATCCTTTTCAACCTTGCCTACAAACCCCCAGAAGGGCAAGTCATCATAATACATCTGGAAGTAATAGTCCTTCAATACAGCAGTCCTGAGCTGAGCAACTTCCTCTTTTGTTAATTTTTTCTGGCAGATGATTTTGGATTGCTTGTCCACCCGAAAGTTCAACTCATATGGTGCATCAACCAAGCGATCACCATTTAGTACTTCTCCAAGAGCCTCCCTCTTCTCCTTCACGTGATCTAATGTGATTAAAGAAAGGGATCAAACAGGAAAGTTAATCCATAAATATTGTAATTTAGAAATGGGAAAAAGTTTATAATGGTGACAAACCTGGTGAACAGAATGGAAGGTCATAGTACCGATATGTCTCGCTGCAGAAGCATCAAATATCCCATCACAGAGCAATCCCAATGAGGATAAAGAAAATTTCAAATTTCGAAAGTTAGACTGAACTAGTAAGAATTATTGATGATGCCCACTAAGAATATGCAACCACCAAACAGTACTAACAAAATGAAATTTAATCACTGTTGTCAATATCCCATGTAAGGATCTTTTAGGTAACAGTTAAATGCCTGTGCACCACACAGATGAGTGATGCATGCCCAGGTCAAATGAGAAATTGCAACTGCCTGCGTTTCTGAGTGCCACTTAAATGATCAAGCACCTGCCTATTTTAACAGTCATCTATTGTCTCTGAACTTAACATACATAACATAAGGGGCCTCAGGTGTATCATTGTATGTTAGTAGACCATGTTGTGGCTTCATTTCTTCTCCAGTAAAAGAGGTTATTGAGGATGGACCATTGACATTTGCAGAATGAAGACTTCAACGGAGCTGAAGCTCATTGAACTGCAAGCCTGATCAGTCTGTTAAGTAATCAATTTAAACCATTAACAATGTAACATATGCATAACAAGGATTTTTTATTTCTTTTCTCCTACACACTTATGGCTGAAGGGTATGACAACTTTTGTTCTCTTTTTTCCCCTTTTTCTATCGGAGAATAGAAAAACAGAAAACGTAGATTCATCTACAGTTGTTAAAAGTATAACATAGTTTTTGTTGTATTAATAAAGGAAAGCATGTCCACATATACAGCAATATCCAGAAACCAAAATGATTTTCTGCATTAAAAGGATTAGGATTAAATAAGTAGAGCACATGAAAGATTCGTCTTATTACTTTTAAAATAAAAGCGATACTTACCTTGGATTGTGGAAAGGACCCACTTTGTTTGCATATAGGGGGACAAGGTCTCTCTCCTTGTATTTGTGATTCGATCCATCTGCTTCCACTCTGAGGCCAGAAACCAGTAAAAGAACAACAACAGCTCCCGCCATTTTGATCACCATAGTTACTAAGCCAAGAAATTTACTACAAAATCATAACTTTCCTTTTCTCCCGGTAATATTCGTAAAGACCCAGCCGAGATAATGTCATAAAGGAGGAAATTTCATAAATAAAACCTCCAATTTGCAGGAAAAAAATAATGAACAACTCGTAGAGCAGATCTGGGAAATGGAGGGAGAAACTTAATATGTTGTTAGTTGTTACTGGACAAGTGAAGATCATATTTCAACAAAGAAATAAAGCTACTAACCTCAAATGTACAAAAGGAATGTATTCGGATTGAAAATTTTAAATTACACGAATTCGAGAAAGAAGATGGTAGATCTAGCAAACCAAGGAGCCTTCAGCCTTGACTTGATACATCATACAACCAAAAGAAAGGCTCTTGAGAGATTACTTGGATGTTGGTGGGTGCAGAAGTTTGGTTAACGAGAGAGAGAGAGAGAGAGAAGATTTGAAGGAAACTGAGAAAATTTTGATTTAAAACAGAACAGAGGTAGCTACTGAGCTCCTGTTTTTTCGCGGGCAAAAGCTTTCGCTCTGCCTTTCTCTACAAAATCTTTAGGACCTGTTCGGACGTCAACTTGGATCCATTTGGATTGTGGTTAGAAATAGAAACGGAGCGGGCAAGTGGGCCTTGTCCATATACAACTAATTTATTGGACCGTTGGAGTCAGGTTCAAACATCAAACTAAACGAGATCGACTTCAGTGCTCACGATACCGCCCGCGTTCACGTCATTCGCACGGTCTTTTGCAGCCTTGAGAATATCTCAGATACTTGTACGTCTTTTTATCGAAATCGGCTTTCATCATGGCAAATCTGTTCCCACACCACTTTAACAGCCTTGTATTAAGAATATCTCAGACTGTAAGAAACTATGCCAATCGTGTAAACATAATCTTGTAAGCACTGAATCCGATTTCAAACTACCAGAGGTGTCGATGTTGGTAACCAATTTAACAAACAGCAGTCTTCACTTATCAAAAAAAAAAAAAAAAACACAAACAACAAACATATCTAGTCCGATTAGTCGAGCCAGAACTGGCTTGGGCCTAGGCCAGAAGATAGTCCAGTCCAATTTAGATCCACGAACTAATTTTGCCAGGAACAGGGTCACCTTAATCGGCAATCTGATTAAAATATTTCATACACCTTTTTTTGCCTTTACATTTATTAATCTATATATATATTAAATTTAGTCAAATTTCACAAACTTGACTAGTTCCAATTATTTAGTAGATCGGTTTCAGAACCCACTACGTCATACCCAGGACCCGACCCGATAAGATGCAAATTTTAACTCAATACACTAATGCCTGTATATTTATGCTGTGTTTGGTTTGAAGGAAAAAGTAGGGAAAGGTAAAAAAACCTTTACAAATCTTGTATAGGCTTCTCTACCTTTCTCTTCCTTTTTTTGGTTTTTCCTTCAAACCAAACATAGCTTTAAAGGATCTAAACATTATGCCATATGGTATGGATCCTTTTGAAATTGAATTCTCCTAATTTAGTAATTTTAGACAAGTGGATCTGAAGCCCAATAAAAAATGAAGAGGGCATTGAATTTAGGGTGATCATGGATGGGTTGGGCCTGATTCCGCGCCTACATTTATTATTTAAAATATTACACATATAAAGTATTTTATGTTAAATATTTATTTTATATATTATATATTATAAGTTACACTTGTAATATTTATAAATAAATATATAATTTTACATAAAATAATATATATAGATATTGCATACATTATGCATAAAATACATATGTTTAAATATATATAGACAGGCTAAGCTTGAAGTATTAAGACCAGGCCTGACCCTGATATATATGAACTTGATGGGCCCAGACTGAGCTTAAACATAACCTAAACCCAAGCACGGAATTTCCAGACCAAACTGAGATGACCATTCCTAGTGTTCATGTCACTTTCATTTATTTTCTTAATTACTTTTAAGTTTTAATTTTCAGGAAATTTGGAAAGGAAAAGAAAATGAAAGAAAGGTAAAAATTATAAAAATGCAACTAAATTCCACTTTCCATCTAAGTTTCATGAATATAGAAAACGCATACATTTGTCCAGTTAGTGCTTTAATGCTGCATTTGGCATTCCTTATTTTAAGGATTTATCTCTTTTTTGCAGTTAAAAAACTCAGTACTCATTTTAACCGCAAAAAGAAGATAAGTCTTTAAAATAATGAATGCCAAATGCAGCCTAAGTGGGTTTGGAGTTTGGTCTCTTCACCTGTCTACAAAATTTTCCATACCACGCTTGTTACATGTGGCAAGTTTGAACCCAATGGTCCTCTACCACATAATAAATAGGACATTTCGCTTAACTTCATTTATGTATGGGCTAAATCTAGTAGAAAATAATTGTAAGAATGACGGTTCAGCCCAGGGTCAAAATTCATAAGCCCAAAATATAGTTGGAGTAGGTGCTAGCTCAGAATTGATATCAATTCACAGGTGGGCAATGATACATAAGATGGGGGTAATTGATATTTTGAAATATTGTAGATCTACAGTGAAAATCAGAATTTTACAATGGATCTGTCCATACTTTTCCATAAATAATTACGATTCAGATTATTACTGCCAGAAGCATGCAGAACCAGAATAAATTATTTAAGTGTTCGTAATTTAACAAAACAACGGGCATGGCACTAAAAAGAAATGGACCTTATAAGCGATGTTAGTCCAAGAAAATGCAAGAGTTATTAATCAATGGAACATAAGGCATTATTTCCTTTCAATAACAAAAGAAAGACCTGTTTACAATGTTATGTATACATTGGAATTTTGTCTCACGCATCACTAATAACCTCTTCCTTTCCTTAAATTGGTGGTTGCAAGAACCAATTTCGTATTAAAGCCAGAACGAACCACTCCTCGGTTAGTGGGTTTATAATTTATAAGAAATCAAAACCCTAACACCAGCTTAAACCAATGAATTCAATATCATCCATTGATAAAAAAATAAATAAAAGGAAAATCCTGAAAGAATCAAAATAATCCAGTCCAAGACCTATATCCTATTTAATTTGTAAATTAGTTATTACTTGCTCAAATCATGTGCAAATTCTCTTGACCTTGTTGGATAGATAACTGAATAAGCTTTCTAAAAGTGCAAAAGGGAAACCCATTGTGTATTGAGCATTATTGATATATTTCAAGAGTACAATATGAGAAAGAAGATTGAGCATGCATACAATTCCATCCATTTTTTATTCTCCCTCCAAATTCTGTCGAGGAATATCAGCGAGTTATTAACTGCTGCCTGAATTGCACACTTGGAAAGCTCTCTCTCTCTAAGCATCGGATGTACTTGTAATTATTATGTAGTTGTGAATACGATGATAGGTTGATGGGGCAATAACATTTATTTCAAATTCATGGGATGAGATTTTTATGCTTTTATGGTATGTATAGAGTTTTCGTTGGATAGGGGTGTTTACATTGAATGTCAAATCGATCAAATCGGCTCGACCCAACTCAAGTTGGTCGGTTCTTCAAAATCACTAGTCGGTTTCGGTTTGTATGAAAAAATAAACTGATAACTTGGTTCAGTTTTGGTTTTCATGTATGAAAATCAAAGCTAAACTGAACCAAACAGATCCTATATTTTTAAGTAATTATTTATTAGTCCCTGCCATATATGTTAAATGTTGATATATTTTATTTGTGTTTTGTTTGAACTTTAAAAAAAATTGGTTATTTATGGTAAAAACCAAAAACGTAAAACCAATACAAATATAATACAATGGTACAATATTTAATTCAGTTTTGTATAAATTTAAATATATATTGACAAAAAAATCAGTTTTGCATAAAAAATTAATCGATTTAAATATATATTTTGGTTTTGCATAAAAACTAAAAAGAAATAAAATTTAATATAAATAGATATTTTAGTTTAAAACATGTATAAAAACCGACTAAATCAATAAACCAACCCAAACCAACCCTTCATGTTTGGGTCAATTTTGCTTTAGGGTCAGTCGGTTTTGGTTTAGCCAATGAGTAAACCGACTAGGTCGGGCCGGTTGAAAAAAAATGACTCAAACCAACCCAACCCGACTTGTGAACACCCCTATCGCTAGAAGGGAATCTCATTGTTGTTAGACATGTGTTCTACCACCTCTTAATTTTCAGATTTTAACCCTAGTAGGACTCTTGTCCTCCAAGAGGGTAGCACCCAAGTATTGTATTTTCCGGTTTTATGACCCATAAATTTTCTATGTTTTAGTTATACTAGCGGAGGGGCCCCTGCTTTATAGAGGCTGGAATGTAATTGTAACATTGTTATTTGTTACATTAAAAAAGACAATGGTTTCTTAATAAGAAACTTGCAACTATAAGTACTCAAGTCTTGAAACTCATATAAATACTTAAAAAAGATCATCATGTGCTCGTTTTTTAAATATTGTTTTAGCAAAGCATCTCATATAAAAGAACACGATCATACAGTGATAGTTCTAAGTTCTACTTCATAATTGTCTTTTGTTTCACATTGAGAACTCCTAGTTGACCCGGACAGTAGGACTGTTCGGCCTATGAACCATCCAGGGAACCAGTTCTGTTTTACCCCAAACCCGGTCCCTAGCCAAAAATCATTGAATCAATCAATGACCCGTTGACCCGAGTGGTCGAACCATCAACCCGTCAACCCGTCAACCCGTTCAATGGGTTTTTTGCTATTTTTTATTTCTAATTTTTGTTGTCAGAACAGGCCATCCATTCGAACTAGACGGTCGAATTGTCGACCTGGAAACCAGTGGCCAGAACAGTTCTATTTCCTAGTCTTTTTTTTTTCTAGATGTCAATAATTAGATGAAATAACTTTGTAGTCATAGCCATGGGAAGGGTGGACATTGCAAGGGATTCCAAAACCTTGAAAGATAAATCCAAAGTGACCTTAAACACAGAAAAAAATTTGGCAGTAAATCCACCAAACTAGAAAAACCAAGGGAAAAAATTAGAAAATCGAGTCCAAAGTTCCACTTTGAGCGGAGCTAAACATACATGCAATCAAAGAAAGAGACAAAGCAGATCATCTTGTAAGAAAATAAAGAAAAAAAAAACATTGCACAAGAAAACTCAAAGAAAAAACAAAATGGAAGAAATAAATGGAGGTAAACCCTAGACCATTTTGGAGGATCTTGAAGAAAAAGACCAAACATAAAAAAAAAAACAGAAAATGAAAAAAAAAATGAACATATTGCAGATGCTTGAATAAAGCCCACATTAGAAGAAACCTTTGAATAGTGAAAATCCAAAAGCATATAAAACCATGGTTTTTGAACCGTCATTGACGCAAACGGATGGAGATTTCGGCACAGGAACCGTCTAGGCAACCAGTTCCATTTTACCCCAATCCCGGTCCCTGGCCAAAAACTGTTGAATCGGTCGACGACCCTTTGACCCGAGTGGTTGAACTGTTGACTCGTTGACCCATTCAATGGTTTTTTGCCACTTTTTTATTTTCTATTTAGGAATTGTCCAGGCAACTGGTTCCATTTTATCCCAATCCTGGTCCTTGGCCAAAAAACGTTGAATTGGTCAATGACTCATTGACCCGAGCGATCGACCTGTCGACCCGTTCAATGTTTTTGGCCATTTTTTATTTTTTTTATTTTTGTTGTCAGAATGGGCCGTTCATTCAAACCCGACAGTCGAACCGTCAACCCGAAAACCAGTGGCCAGAACAATTCCATTTTCAATTTGTATGAGTCACGCACTTGAATGACATAACACGTATGATACTGCTTAGTGGACCTCACACACTAAATCTTTTGCTTGTAATTTTTGTTGTCATAACAGGCCATCTATTTGAACCGGATGATCAAACTGCCATTTTTTATTTTTTTAATTGGGAACCATCCAGGCAACTGGTTCCGTTTTACCCCAATCCCGGTCCTTGGCCAAATACCATTGAATCGGTTAACGACCCATTGACCCGAGCGGTCGAACCGTCGACCCATACAATGGTTTTCATCATTTTTTATTTATTTTTAATTTTTGTTGTCAAAACGGGCCATCCGTTCGAACCAAACGGTTGAACTATCAACCCAAAAACTGGTGACCAAAATGATTCCGTTTTCAGGTCATATGAGTCACACGCTTGAATGACATAACACATATGATACTACTTAATGGACCTCACACACTCAATTTTTTTCCTGTAATTTTTATTGTTAGAACGGACCATCCGTTTGAACTGAATGATTGAACCATCAACCCAAAAACTAGTTACCAAAATGATTCCATAATTTTTGCTTATAATTTTTATTGTTAGAACAGGCCATCCGTTCGAACCGGATCATGAAGCCATTGACCCAAAAATTGGGTAGAAGATAAGATGTATAAGATTCCTTATGCTTATTTCTTATAATCTTATATATATATATATATATATATAAAATACTGCCATTGGTGCTGAGAGTACAACTGTTGTGTGTGCCACCTGTCCAGCATGTGATGAATTCAGCTAGAAGGATTTATGCCCTACGAAAAAAAGAACAGTTTTTATATAAGTTTTAATGAAATTTAGGGTCTAATTTCCCCTCTTTATATTTGAGTTAACAAGATGATAAGGTTTAAAGTAGTGATAGGTATCACACGGCATCATTTTGTATGATAACTATAATTATATATAAACTATAAAGCAAGGTTGTCCACATTATCCATCCCCTTTCCTGCTTTCTTCTTAATTCTCTCTCTTTCTCTCTCTGTTCCCCTTTTCCAATCCTCACATGTTGCCACATGTCACCCCTTTTTTCTTCACAAAAATAATTTTGTTAATTAGAAAATAACAAATAAAAATAGGAAAATAACAAAAAAATGAGTAAATAAGGAAAACTTTCTAAAAATAAGAAAACAACAACAAACAAATTAGAAAATAATTTTTAATTAACTAATAAAATAAGAAATTTTTCATTAAAAATAGGAACATTTTTGACATATTAAAAGTAAAATTTATCAAGAAAATATTAAAATTTAGAAAATAACTGAAAAATAAAAAAGAGGAAATTAAAAGATAGAAACTTACTTTATATGATTAACTTATTAAGTAACTTATTAATTGAAACAAGTTAAATAATTTAGTCTTTTTCACTCATTCTAAGATTAGTAAAATTAAATTTACAAAAATTATAAAAAAAATTAAAATTTAATTTCTTAATAAAAAGTAGCATAATAAAAAAGTGTTAATGAACTTAGAAAAAATATTTTTTAATTTAAAATTGATTAAAAACATAATTTAATTAAAATAAAAAATTTAAGTTTCACTTAATAGTTAAACAAGTAACTTGTTCTCTACAATCTCTTCTAGATTTTTGGATTTTTAATTTATTAGACAATACATAACCCAAGAACGATGCTAAGATGGATAGCATTTAGCTTTGCACCATTACAAATGTCCCAAGACTCGTGTATGTCACTTAACAAAAAATATACATCGCATTTAAGAGTGATAAAACTAATAAAATGTAACAAAAATAGTAAAAATTAAGATAAATAATAAAGTAAACATAAATTTATCTCATAACATGTAACCCGAAAATAGTTTGGGTTGGAATTGGTACCACTTGGCCCAATTGATATTGTCATAAGTCACCTACTACAATTTCATTTTACACACATATACCTTTCCCCTTCTCATCCCTCTCATGTAGGCCATGTGGCTCCCCCCTCTCCCTTTCCCCTCTCTTTATGACACATCCCAATTACTCTTAACTAATCTTTCTTATTACACATCCCTCTCCTAAAATTTCTCTTATTACTCTTAACTAATCTCTAGATAAACAAATGCTTGATTTTAAGATTCGAGAGTCCAATACCCAAATGTTTCTTAAAATAGAAAATTTGATGTAAGAATTAATAACTTTCTAAATTTTGGTAGATTATATCTCTTTCTAGAAATTATATTTAATAACTTAATTTAATAAAACAAAAGGCTAATAAAATTCATTTTATTAGTTACTAAAAAATTAATAGGAATTGCATGTTGATCAAACTATGTTTACTTAGTAACTTAATTAAATCAAGAAAATTTTATTAGTAAAAAATTATTCTATTAGTTAAAATCAATAGAAGTTATTTTTAATAAATACAAATAATAAAAGCTAATAAAAATTATTATGGATGGTTCGAACAGTTCCCAGTTTTTTCGGTCTGACCATCCGGTCTGGTTTGATTTTGAAAACCATGGCTAAAAATACACAAACATGTTCAGTTTTGCACATTCAAAATTGGGACTTTGGAGTCTGGTTAAAGACTAACTTCTTTCAACTTCCAATATTTGGCCAAATGGATTGAGGAGAGAGAGGGTTTTTTGCCTTTTTCCTGTTTACACTTAGGGGGCATACTTTTTTTGGATTTTGAGAGGGGGGGGGGAGTTGGTTAATGGGATTTTGGTTCCCATTGACCAAGAATCCCATGTTTTTTTTTTTTTTTTTTTAGATTTATGTGGGGACCAGGGAAAGTTTATTTACCCGGGTAAGTGATACCCATCTCCTAGGTGAGTAAGTAACTTTTCCACCTAGGGGAAAAGTTGCCAACACTTGAATGAGACAACAATGCCCCTTTTAATAATGGATTTTTATGGCTAAAATGGTCATTGGTAAGTATTTTTTTACCAGGGGCCTTAAGACAATGATACAATAAAATTGAGACCATGATATAATTGTGTTCCCACCAATTGCAAAATAAAAAATCATTGGCCATTTAGCATAAAATAAGTAAAATAAATATGCCATATAAATATAAAATACTAGGAAGATATATAACCTAATCTCGGGGCAGATACACGAGTGTTCTCAGCATGGCTTTTGAATATTCGTTGACTTGGATGGTTGGACCGTTCGGTCCAGAAACTGGCTAGGAGAACAGTTTTTGGCCATTTTTTAAGCATTTTTAAATTGCATCGGACTGATTTGCTCGGACGAACCGCTGACCAAAAACCGGTGGGCAAAGTGATTCCGGTTCCGGGTCAGCTTTTAAACGTTGGTTCTGTAAAATGTCTCTGGTGTTCTCGATTTCGCGGGTCGGATCCAAAACGGGGTGGATCTGATTGGTGTTACTATAAACGACCCGACTAAAATCCACTTCTCCATTGGCGAACAAGCCGTTAGAAGTCCTCCCCTAACGAACTGGGTTCTTACTTCTTACAGTGAAGCGCGAATTACTAACCGCGAATCCGAGAGAAACAACCCAACGAACTATAAGTATACTTCTCTCTCACTGTCCCTGTTTTTAACATCCATCTGGGTTCCGACGTCTTCGTCGACGAAATTCTTATATACAAGACCCCAATTCGGTCTCCACCAGGTACAAATTTTATTAATTCGTTTTATTTTTTGAAATTATTAGGTGTATCTTTCATGGTCCATTAAGCAGTTTTTAGGGTTTTCTGTTCGGTGGGATCTCACTGTTTTACGGTTTCTTCCGGTGATGTGATTGAATCGACCTTATGGCTTCTATGTTAGGGTTTCTATTTTTACTACAATTTGAGTTTTGCAATCTCATAATCTTATTATTTTGGGTTGTCTGAGAGATCTCTTCCGCAATTTCTCTGCTGTGAGATCTTCCACATCCAGATTTGCAGTATTTTTCGTGGATTTCGACATCGGAGGAATGGAGGATTAAACGTTTTTTTCCTTTTCCCGCGTCAATTTTGTTTTGTTTGCTTGAGCATTTCTTTTTTTTTTTTTTGCGCCAAATATTGTAAATTTCTCCTGAAATTTCTCTATTTATAATTGATCAAAAAATCATTTATTTATAAATTCACCTCTAATAGAATATACTATCAGCAATATTGATAACCAAGTTGAAATAGTATGGCTTACTTCTGGTTGGTTCTATCGAAGCTGGACTCACTCTGGCTTCTAGGAAAAAGAGAAAGAGGGCTCATGTATTTCTGTAGCTTTTTCCCCTACCAATTGATTGGGATTTGCAGATTTTATGGTTTTAAAAGCTATAATACGTTCTATTTAATTTTTCAGTTTGATTCCCAAGTTTTCCTTTTATTTATCTTACGTTTTTTTTTTCTTTTCTGTTTATGCTCATAAAATGAGGAGTAGGAAGATTAAATTGACATTTAAATGTTATGTAGAATGTTGGTCATATTATCTGTTTTTCATTAGCATTTGAATGCATAAATTCATATATAAAAGGGACCATTGTCAAATTTATTTTTGGTAGGTAACAAAGGGTGAAACATTGGAATAGGAAACTGGCTGCTAGATTGGATTCTGATTATGCCTGAATTTCCTAATGTTCAAGATTCTTTTGGGTCTGATTTCTGGGCCACTTTGGAATTTTCATAGAGGCTGTATTAAGTTGTCCTTTCTTTTGGTAGGGTGTCTCCTCATCACCCTTTGATGCTCTATGCACTCTCTACTTCTTATTTATAAATTTTCTTTTTTATTTATTATAACCAGAATGAAACTTATATTAGTGCTGAAAGGAATATATAATTAACTTATTCATTGAAGAAGGTGTTGATTGGTTGGTTGATAATAGAGAGAGTTGCTGATCCTATAGAAATGAAATTAGAAAGTTTATAAAAAATTCAGCGGGTACCTAGAAAATGGAAAATTGCACGGCTGATGTATTAGCTAAAGACAATTATTTCAGCCTGCAGAAAGACAACTATTTAACAAAACCATCATTACCAAAAGGCCAGCAATTGAATGATTTCAGGCCAATCAGCTTGGTTACCAACATTTATAAAATAATTGCTAAGGTGTTGGTGTGTTGCCTCTAAGGATTAAGAAAGTTCTTCCACTGATTATTTATCTCTCATTACGAAGGGGCCTTTATTCAAGACATATAGATTGTGGGTCATATTCTTATTGCAAATGAACATGTAGAGGCCCAACGAAGATCTAGGAAAAAGGGAGTGGCAATTAAGTTGGACTTGGAGAAAGTTTATGATCTAGTGGGTTGGGAGTTCTTAATTAACATTATGAGAATTTGTGTTTTGGAGAATTGTTGTGTAAGTGGATCAAAGGTTGCTGGTAAACATGTCACTTTTCAGTGGTTGTGAATGGATTGGTGGTGGACTTTTTTTAAGCCATTGTAGGTCAAAACAAGGAGATCCCCTCTCCCCTTTCCTTTTCATTTTGGTGGCAGAGGTTCTTAGTAGGTTGATCTCTAGGGCTTGTTAGTTGCAACTTTTAAAGGTTGGGTGGTGGGGAGAGATAGAGTGGTGGTTACCCATCTCTAGTTTGCAGATGGCATTTTGATTTTTTGTTATGGGGAAAGCAGAAATGGGGTTGAAAATTTGAAATTAGTGGTGAGTCTCTCTGAAAGAATGTCTAATTTAAAAATCATTTAGAACAAGAGTGCGGTGGTTGGTTTAAATGTTGAAGAAGAGGAATTAGGCTCACTAGTTGAGGTTTTGGGGTGTGAAAGAGGGGAGTGGCCTTTAAAATATTTAGGTTTACCTCTAGGTGGCAACTTGTGGTCTTTTAGTTTTTGGAATCCAGTCTTGGAGAGAATTGAGAAAAGATTAGCTGGTTGGAAAAAAAAGGAATTATAACCTCATTATGCGGGAGAATCACTTTGATAAAATCCACTTTGGTTAATCTCCCTATTTATTTCATGTTTGTCTTTAGGATGCCTCAAGCAATTGCAAGGGAGTGGAGAAATTGATGAGAGAAGGTGGTCAAAAGAAAGAAGGTGTGTTGGGTCTAGGAAGCATTAGTAAGAAAAACCTTGCTCTTTTAAGTAAGTAGTTGTGGCATTTTCCCTTGGAGAATGAAAGGTTGTGGCATAAAGTGGTTTCAAGTGTTCATGGATTTTCTAGGGATGGATGGGATGTTGGTATTCTACAAAGGGCTAATCAAGCTGCACCATGGAAAGAAGTGCATGATATTCTCCCTCAATTCCTTGGGCATATTATGTATGATTTGGCTTTTGGTAACTGGATTAGATTTTCGGAAGATGTGTGGGTTGGGGATTCCCCCTTGAAAGATGTGTTCCCCCCACTGTATGCTCTCTCAAACCTTAAAAGAGAAACCTGTGTCTGAAATTTTTTGGGTCTCCTTCCTCCTTTGGGGTGGGATGGAATTTGGAGCTAGTGAGAAACCTTAGAGAGTCTGAAATCTCTTCAGCATCTAGCCCATTGAATATTTTGGATAACCTGGTTTTTGATGCTTCTGTGGATGATAGTGAGGTTTGGTCCCTCAGTCCTTCAGGGTCGCTTACTTATAAACCATTTTCTCTTCCCTTGTGGCCACCCCTTCTTCCTTTTCCTTTCATGTGAAAAAAGTTCGAAGTGCCCCTATCCCACCAAAAGTGCCTTCTGTTGGGAAATTTAACATGGATGCATCAACATGTGTGATCTTCTGCAAAAGTAAAGGCCAAATCGGTGCTTGTCTCCCAACTGGTGCATTTTGTGTAAGTTGAATGGTGAGACTGCTTCCCACCTCTTAATCTCATGTCCCTTTGCTTGTTGTGTTTGGGAATGGTTTTGCTTTCCTTTTGGTTGCAGGTGGATAGCGGTAGTGTGGATAGTTTGGGAAGAGAGGAACTTAAAAATCTGTGAGGATAGGGAAAGAAACAAGGAGGCCATGGACTATGGAGACTTTTTTTTTTTTGATAAGTAAAAAGAAAATTTATTAAAAAAGAAGAAAAAACAATTACAACCTAGGACAGTGTTGAGAGAACACCTCCATAAGTGCAAATAAACTACAAGCATCCAGATCCCAAACAAAAGGCCTGCAAATGACTAACACCCCAACTAGCCCAAAAGAAAACAGCAAAAACCAGCAGCCAATACAAGAAGTAAGCTCTAGAACAAACCAACTAAGCCTGGGAACCAACATAGAGCAGCCACAGACATCCAAGCCTCACACTCTCACCTGCATCAAAATCCACATCTTCCTTCACTCTTCATCAACAAAATCTAATTCCGATCCTTCACCTTCCTCCCAATTCTCACCCCCTTCTCCAACTGCATTTCACTTGTTATCAGACATTTCTGAAGTCTAGAATTAGCCTTAGGTCCTTTCCTTTTGTAAGTTCTCTTAAATCTGCAACATGGACCATCCCCAACCAGCCTTCCTTGAGACGATGAAAAACCTTGGTTACATGAACAAGCTGCCCGTTACCAGAACCTCTCGTTTTTCTCAAGTCCTCAACCTTGTGGTTCACAGAGTTAGTCAACTTCGAGTCCGCTTTGACTCTTCTCCTGCTTAGCTCCATCCCTAGCTTTCCTATCAAAATTGAAGACCACACACCTTCTTCTTTAACCACCCTCTTAGAGTTCTTGACACTTGTCACTTCCCCTGCTTCCTGTACCATTTCCCTGCTGTTAAAACCACACAAGAAAACCTTAGTCTTTGATGGATTTCCTTCCTTATCAGGATTTTCTTCCATTTCAGCTCTTTCCGCCATTCCATCACCCTCCTTAATTCCTTATGAAAATTTGAAAGTTTCTTTCTCAGAGTTAATGGCTGAATCCTTGACAACAACTCTTTCTTGTGTTCCACCTTCTTCAGTAACCCAAGGAAGAGCTTGAGGAGTTGTCTCTTTTGAACTTATTACAGCTTCCGGATGTTTTGCGACACTTGATTCTTCTGATCCCACAAATTTCGTAATCATCCACTCCCAGACCTCCTTCTTCCTCTTCCTATGAATGTTGAAAGCTCTCAAAGTATTTTGTTTAAAATCTTTTACCTTCTTTGCCCTCAGGTATAGAGTTGTATCCTTCCTCGCCCTTCTTCCTCCCTTGAACGACCATTTTTTTGATCAGCAACACAAAATTGATTCATTAGATTAAAAAAACATATACAACAAGAAATTGTAGGCAGAAAACAAGAAATCCTCTACGGTCTCCCACGTTTCAGACAAACATCACGAGCAACCTTTGGGGTGCAAAAAGCTAAGGAAATGGTAATCACAAGGCTGATTCTAGAAGGGGACTCAAAAATAGTCATCGGTTGGTTGAAAAAAGGAGATGGGGTATTACGGCTATTTAGAAATGAGTTCAGGTGGTTCATGTTGCTGTCAAGACAAGTGCAAATTCATGTAAGATGGGTTAGAAGGTCTGCTAATGGGTTGGCAGATGGATTAGCTAAGCAAGGTGACATCATTTGTTTTGGGCTCAATGTTAACAGGGTAGTTGGGTTTTATTGTTGTAAAGGGTTTTATTTCTAACAACAACTTGTTGTAATATCTTTTTCTTTAAGTCTCAATAAAATTCTTTGAGTTTCTGATAAAAAAAAACACTAACAATTGATCCTGCCGAGCCCAGAAAAGCAGTGGTGTATGGAGTCTCCTAAATGGATAGAGTAGACCTTGCTGACTTTGACACTTTATGAGTGAGGGATGCTTTTACAAACTATTTTTTTCTCCACTCTTTCTTTTTGACATAAACGAACTTCTCTTATGCCTATATATCAGATGATGTTAGAATTTACAAGGTATTGAATTTTTATGATTGAATACTATTGCCCAAACTTGCTCTTGAGTCCAATTTTTTTGTTCATGTTGCTGACTCTAGACATGCCTCAAAATGTGGGTTTCATGCTTGTATCTGTGAAACATTGCAAATAAGTTCTGGTGGTTTGCTCCTCTGTCCTCCCTCTTCTTAGGAGCTCGGAGTGGTATTTCTTGACCATGTTCTGCTTTTATCTTAGATTCTGTCAAGATCATTAATCCCTTATCCATATTGTTTGCTAAAGTATCCAAGTCAAGTTCATTTCATGAATGCTCTAATTATATTAGCATCCTTATCAAATTCATTTTAGATGTTGATTTTAGGTTTTATTTTCATCTTTTCTGTTTACTTGATGCCCCATAGCATTGGATTCAGCTGGATTTGGATTCTATTTGTGTTTTGACAGATTGTGAAGGAAATGATGAGACTCCAAACATATGCGGGCCTTAGTTTAGTTGGTACACTTGCTGTTATTTATCATGCGTTTAGCAGTAGGGGTCAATTCTACCCAGCCATGGTGTATCTATCCACCTCCAAGATCAGTTTGGTGCTTCTTTTAAATATGGGTCTGGTCATCATGTGCATTTTGTGGCAGTTAACCAAGTGTTTGTTCCTTGGATCTCTACGAGAAGCAGAGGTTGAGAGATTGAATGAACAGTCATGGAGGGAGGTCATGGAAATTCTTTTTGCAATCACAATATTCCGACAGGACTTCTCTGTTACATTTCTTGCAATGGTGACTGCTCTCCTGTTAATTAAAGCTTTGCATTGGTTGGCCCAGAAGAGGGTTGAGTACATTGAGACAACTCCATCTGTTCCCATGTTCTCTCACATCCGGATTGTTTCTTTCATGGGATTTCTTTTTGTCCTGGATAGTATCTTCTTGTACAGTTCTTTGAAACATTTGATACAGACATGGCAGGCTTCTGTTTCTATTTTTTTCTCATTTGAGTAAGTTATTTATGCTTACGCTTCTGATTCTTTGTGTGTTTAGACCAAAATGCTTCTTGATGTTGTTTGCTTTGTTTGGCAGTATGTTTCTTTACTTACTGTCATTTTTGAGTATTTATGGGCATAAATATTTCTTTGTTTTTTACTATAGCTGTCTGCAGTTTTCATTTACCTTTATAATATATAGTGGAATTCATGAATGCCTACATGTATATGTCCATAAGATGACATAGTTAAAGAATTTCCTAGGTCATTGACTTGCCTAGCTAGGGTCTCTGCCAATTACATTAGGATCTAGGCTGTTTATGGTCATTAAGCATTTTATAAATATAAGATGTGATGTTAGTTCTATTATTCTGGTAAAATGTAATTATATAATTAAATAAATAGTACATTGTTTTTTTTTGATAAATAAATATTTTTTTATCAATAACCAGAATTTTGTTAAAGAAGAAAATTATGAATACTGCATCCAAGAGAAGGGGTAAACTCTCTTAGCCCTCCCCAAGGATAGACAAGGTACAATCAAAGATTTACAAGCATGCCCACAATGAATGAACCCTTCTTACCCCCTGTTTAGCTAAGGCATCAGCAAAGGAGTTAGCACTCCTTTTAACCCACTGAAGTCTTATTTCCATGCCCCTTGACAGCCACTTAATTTTTTTTTTTTTTCATTTGCGTATTCCCTTAAGTCCATTGTCTTCTTTATCCAGCCAGCCAATAACTACTTTGGAGTCACCTTCAATGATTAGATTATGTAAATTTAGTTCTTTTGCTCTTCTTACCCCTTCCAACACAGCCAAGACCTCCGCCCTGAGAGAATCACCAACACCTACTGACTCAGAAAATAAAGTCAAAACCTGTCCTTCCTCATTCCTAAAGACAATGTTTTTAAAACCGACCCGGAGGTTGACCTGGTTTTCCCACCAGGTCGCGGGCCACCGGTTTGACCAGGCGGGTCGAACGGTTCAGTCCGGTGATATAATTAAAATATTAAAAAAAGTATATATTATATACCCGAGATGTGCCGCTTGCCGGTGAGCCTGCGATATACACAGTCGCCGCTTGCCGGCGAGAAACAAAGCTATGAAGCCTGTGATGTTGTGCTGCCCAAAGCCCCAAACTCGGCAGTCTGGTGTCGCCCAAACAGAGAAGAATAGCTGATAACGTCGCCCAAACGTGAGGAATGAGTATGGCGTTTAGCTAGGTGTCTCCGGTGACTGGAGATCAGATTCTGTCGATCTTCTTCAGCCGTCCATCCTCTTCGTGAGTTTGTCCTCTCCTGTTCTAAATCTTGCATAAACCCTAGATCTAGAACAGAGGAAGTGATAGAATATGTAAAAAGAGAGGAACATATTAACCTTGTTCTCAGGCCCTGTGGAAATAGGAGACTAATAGAGCTGAGATTTTAGCGGCGATACAAGGTATTCAGATTGCAGAACAATTAGGGGTTCAGCACTTGGTAGTTGAAGGAGACTCTCAAATTGTGGTGGGATGGTTGAAAGACCCAGCTTCAGCCATGTGGCAACACAGAGATTTATTAAGGAGAGTAAACTGGCCTACAAGAAATATGGGTGGGAAGATCAGCAAACACCTTAGCGGATGGGTTAGCTAAGCAGGGGGTTACAAGGGAGCAGCTATTTTGGGCTGCTTTGTAATTTTATTTATGGTTAATTCTGTTTTATTTTGATGTAATACTTTTCTGAAGAGGTAACAGCTCTTGCCTCTTCAGTGGTGTTTTTTCTGAATTAATAAATTTCTTCATTCATCAAAAAAAAAAAAATGTAAAAAGAGAGGGGGGGCTCGAGTTGAGACTTTTGGGGGATTTTACAAATTTTTAAACCTAAAAATGTAAAAAGAGAAGGGGGTCGACAGTTGAACCGTTGCCCGCTTATCGGGTCACCGGTTCAACCGTCCGGATCATCCGGTTTGCTGACTTATCAACGGTTTTTACGAAGATACTGGTTTTATGAGAACCAGACCCGGAAAGTCGACCGGGTGATGGTTCGAACGGTTCGACCGTCCGGGTCAACAACGGGTTAAAAACCTTGCCTAAAGACACCTCCAATACCTGAAGGTCCTAGGTTACGTCCACTGCTTCTGTCAAAATTTAGCTTAATAAACCCTTCAACTGGTGGAGACCACAATGGAGTAGATCAGTAGAAGCATCTTTCCTTGGTGCTGATTTAGCCACTTCCAATTATTAAGCAACAAACCTGTTGAAATATCCTCAAATAGTTTCAGGGATTTCACCCAATGTAACACTCTAATTGTAATCACTTCCACAATTGCACTGAAGCTCCTTTATTTATTGATAAATAAATAAACAGTACATTGTTATAAAGTTAATCTGACAGGAGAAAGCAATTCTGTGATTAATGTCCTAATGGAGTGGGTGGAACCAAGAGGAAGGTGGAAAGAAACTAGAGATAGATACATGAAAAATAAAACATGTTTTTTATTTTTATAGAACAGTAGCTGTAGAACATAATTTTTTCGTAGGCATCTATTTTGGGTTAGGGCTGTATCCAGTCTACCCCTCCCAAGACCCCAGATAGCTGCGACCAACATTGGGTAATGGCATTTTGTTTATTATAAACACCTTTATAAAACATACAAAAGTTGGTCCATGAGAACCAAATAATCCACCACCAGTGTTGCATGGACTTGGTGGACATGGGAATTGGAATCTGACACATGTCTGGGAATCCGACTCAGTGAACCCCAAAAAGTAGGATTCATGGACAAGTCTCACATAAATAATATTTTATTATATGTTAATATATTTTTAACATTATTTTCTAAATTCATAAAACTATGCAAGCACAACAACTTAATAGTTAAATTACTTGTACAATTGACAAGTTCAACTTACAGCCTTTTAACTATTTGCCATGTGACCACTAGTTTTTTTTCAGTATTTTCCTAATTTCAATGTTAATTGGAAAAAATTCAATAAACAATGGATCACAAGTTGTGTTAATTTAACAATAAAAATACTAAAGTGCCATATTAGACATTTTAAATGGTTGGACCACTATTAATATAGGTGTTTAAAGTGAGGATCACAAGTTATGTGTAAATTGGAAAGATGCAAAGACTAAAGTGCCATATTAGACAATTTGAATGGTTGGACCACTATTAATAGAGGTGTTTAAAGTGAGAATTTGTCATTTGGAGAGTTGGACATAAATCTGCCTGCTTTGCACTGTAGCATAGTTGGGAACAACTCATGGACATGTATCGACTTGTGAGTCCCCTCCAAAGGTGGGGTGTCCTGTGTCCGTGCAATACTGGTTTCCACAAACAGTAGCTAAGGTGTAGAACTTGCCACCTCTTTCTGTCTATTTCATGTTTTTCCAATAAATCTGCCAAATAACACCAATCTCTTGCTGCAGACATTTTCAAAATGACTGAAGACTCTAGCATATAAAATTTTAGACCTCTGATACAAAGACCCAATTTCCAATTTTCCATGGCCTACCCTATCCTAGAGTCAAATTCCATCATCAAGAGCCAATGTCCTGTCTCCTTGCACATGTTTCAAGACTAGGACTTTTCTTAGATGAACGGCCTACTCCACCAAGGCTTTCAAAAAAAGTGTCAATTGCATATTGCAGATGAGTGATTCTATGTCTTTGACCACCCATTTGAATCCTTGTATTAAGCCCAATTCAGCTCCCTAAATAGCTTACTCAAGACTTCTAATTCCAACACAAAGAGCATGGGAGATAATGGATTGCCCTGCCTTAGTCTTCCAGCCTAATCAAATTAAAATTATTGACATATAAGGTAAGGTCCTGATTTTCATCTAGGTCATGACTGATGTTTGTAACGAGGACCACAAGCTTGTTGGCTTCTTCTCTATAAACGTGTCTGACTTGGATCCTCCTCCTTGAATCAGCAAAACTTTTCCGAATGTCTTCAATGATGAACAAAGAACCCCAAGGGGGCTTCACTTTCTCTTGATGCAATCTATTGTCAAATGTCAACAGGGAGTCCCCCTCCACAATGATGTCAGAGCAATCTAAACTAATTGCTGCTTCAATTGCTTCCTTTGCCACTCGAACCTCTGCCACTGTGATGGAGCACCTTTCTATCCTCTTTACAATTACTTTAGCCTCTTTGACAATTATTTTACTATGGCTTTATATGGGCTAGAAATAAGACTAATAGGTCAATAATTTTTTGACTCAGGAGCCCTTCCACTTTAGGGATTAAAGAGAGAAATGTTGCATTTGCACTTTTCTCCATAATATTTTCAATTGTCATTGAAAACTCCAACATATTTATCATATCTTTAATCACTAACCAGCATGCATTAAAATATGCTACAAAGCCATCCGGGCCTGGTGCTGTATCACCATTCATGGATCTCACGCTTCCTAAATCTCCTCTCTCTCTCTCTCTCTCTCTCTCTCTCTCTCTTTCTCAATCATTAACAGAGATTTCATTGATTCAATTTAATTGGGAATACAGTATACACTATGCAGCAGGGTGATCAATCCATCCCTATTGAATTTCAACAACTCAAATTACATTTTTTTTTGTTTTTTTGATAAATTACAACTCTGCCCACAACATTTGTTCTCTATGAACCAAGGTTTAAAATGTTGATGTTGATGGAAATGTCGCTTACCAAAATATAGGACATATGTYGGAAATGTCAAAAATGTCGAGGGGAAATATTGTAAAAATTAGACACTGTGGAAATATTATGAAATATGTGGAAATGTGTAATGATATTGTTTAAAATGATAAAAGAAGCATAAATACATATTTCTAGACTATTATCTTATTCCCAACCGTTATATAAAGCTAAGAAACTAAGATCAATAACAAATTAGTAAATGACGATTTACTGATTTATTATGCATTTTGATGTTTTTACAAGGTTATCTGATATTTTCTTTTCTTATTTTTAATTCTGGTTTA